CGCGTTGTGTCCTCAGTTCATCGCGCAGATCTATGCTTTCCGTTGTAAGCGTCTTCGTGACTTGTTGCTTTCCCCGACAGGACGTTAGGTAACATTGTCGTACCACCCTCTGGTCTCCACGGGCCACCCCCACTCCATATGGGATATGGGGTCAAGAACTTCATGTCTAAGTGGAAGGTAGACACAGAGGCTCGTAGAGCATTCAAGGTCGGTCTGCTGAGGATAACGTTATAGGAGGAGAGGCATCAGCCAACAGTGAAATCTACCATGGCTGTAGAAGTGATCTCACCATCTCCGATTAGCAGGGGTAGAGTAATTGTTCTTGTTGGCATAAGTGACTCCTTGGAGAAGCCTATCAGGGGAGTGTTGACCGGTGTGAGATGATCCTTGTCGATGCCGAGCTGATCAAAAGTGTCTTCGAACAAGATAACGACTGAGCTCCCAGTGTCTATTAGGATGTGCCAAACTTCGTAGTTTGCTATCTCGACCATGATCACTAGGGCATCATCATGCGGGGTTTGGACTCCCTTGTCTTTTCTTTTGTTCCATGTTGTCAATTTCTAGTAGGCATGCATATCTCTTCCGGCCTAAGCTGCTCTTCCCCCGGAAGTCGTTCCTCTTGAGATCACTACTATGACTCCAACTGGGGGAGCTCGGCTTGGGGGCCTGTGGCACTTCTCTACCTTAAGGGGCTGTCCTTTTTTATGTTGATGAAGCCCGCTAGGTAGCCACGCCCGATCAGATCCTCAAGGTGGTGCTTCAAGTCGAGACAGTTGTCGGTCTCGTGGTCGTGATCCCGATGAAAATCGCAATACTCGTCGTGATTCCTCTTGTTGCCTTGGGTTTTCATCTTTTTAAGCCAATGGACGTATTTGCTGTCACGGATCTGCATCAAGATTTCAAACCACGGTGTAGTCAGTGGTGTGAAGTTCCTGAAGGTTGGAGGCGGTGTCCTCGGCCTTCATTCTGGCCAGCGGTCTTGTCGCTTGCTTTCCCGGTCCACCTTTTATGTCTTCCACTCCTCGATATCTCTTCTCTTTTTTTCGGGTCGTTCCTCATCGTCCCTTAACTATGCTTGCGCTTCCTCCACATTGATGTACTTTTGGGCATGGCTCATTAGCGCGACTATGGTCTGAGGAGGGTTCTTCGAAATGGAAAAACTAAATGGGGATGGCCAGTGACCCTGTTGAATGGCTGTGACGGCTACCGATTGGTTCAAGTGTCGGACCTGTAGTGCCTCAGTGTTGAACCTCGCCAGGTAGTCTCTGAGGGACTCCCCTTTCCTCTACCGCACTTGCATGAGGCTTTCCAAAGTCTTCCAATGTTTTCGGCTCATTGTGAATTGCGCAAAAAACTGGCTTTCTAGCTACTCCCATGTTGCTATGGAGCGCGGGGAAGGGACGAGTACCATGTCAGGGCCGTACCTTTAAGGATTGCCACAAATGCCTTGCACATTAGGCCTTCAGACGAACTGTGTAACATCATCTAGGCTTTGAAGGCTTCTACATGGTCGCCAAGATACGTATTCCCCTCGTACTTCTCGAACTGCGGTGCCCGCTATCCTACAGGGGGAGCTCGTCCATGATTTCTTGGATGAAGGGCGGCTCCTTGGCAAGCTAACTGTTTGGTTGTACGGGCCGGACTATGGGAGATGCCACGCTTCTCTAGGCCTGGCTGCACTCCAACTCGGTCAGGCGTTGTCGGAATTCTCGAATCTCCGCATCCCTGTCGTCTGGAGTCGTGACGTGTGTGGCTTTTTCCTTCATGGGTTGTGTTGTATGGTCCTTGACCGAACTGGACTCGACAATGAAGATCGGCTGGTGCAACGTTCGTTTGTCAAGCCTTTCTTTTATTGGAACCTGAGTAGATTGGTATGTTTTGCTGCGGTTGTCACGCTCACGGGACTGGGTAGATGAGCTCGATCTTCTTGAAATGTCCCGTTTTTCTTGCTCAGGCCATGCCCCATCCTTGTCTGACCGGCACGTTTTGGGGTCCTTAGGGCGAGGATCAGCCTTGGTACACGTCGGGGCCGGAGGGGGGACGGTCTGAGCGGGCGGCACTGCAAACCCCAGCAATTGCATCATCACCAAGATTTGGTTGACATTTTCTTGCATTGCTTGGAACTGGATGGGGTCGACCGCGGCTTGCTGAGGTTGCTGAGTTTCATGGTGCGGAGGGCTGCGATGAGACCGGGATCCTTGAGAGGGGGATTGGCATGTCGATCTTTTAGAGTTGTTTCTTGGCATCTTGATCGATTCTTGATTGCACGGTAAAGAAAGGTTTTAGGAAAGGCTTTTTGTGTGTTTCCCACAGATGGCACCAATCTGTTGTTGCTCGATCCTATGTAGTGCAAGAACCGAGGTCACAGTTAGATAGTCTTTGCCAGTTGGGCGGAGTCGAGATGGAAGGACGAAGCCATGCAATGAGATCTGAAACCAAGAAGGAAGTTAAAGGTCCGAGGAATTATCCCCGAGTAGGCATTCCGACGCTCAAGTCAGTAGAAAGCAGTAGGTGGTCGGGCCGAGCAACGAGAGAGTAGTGTTAGTCTGAGCAAAGTAACGGTATGAGAGTTAAGAGATGGATCCCCTACCTTGAGCGGGAAGTACCTTTTTATAGTTGAAGATCCGTGTCCTGGTCGGATARAGGCTTCTGGGGTTGTCTAGACGAGGTTAACCGCCGAGGTCTTCGGTATAAGACCTAATCCCCAGCGAAGTTGTCCCCATCCGTATGATGATCTCCTATCTTGGTCATGCTTATCCCCATGACGTGGTGTCGACATGGTTGAAGAGATAAGGTGGGCGGCAGAGGTGACATGGTGCTGACGTGGCTGAGGAGATAAGGCGGGTTGCGGATACGACATGGCGTTGTCGTTGCCGAGGAGATAGGGCGGCCAATTAGGCACCACGTGGTGTCCGGAGCCAACTTAACCATAACTCGAACAATGATCAACCTAAAAACGGTCAAGGCTTAGTTTAGACGTTCCAATCGACCACTTCCTAACTACCAAAGCAGATACAGTTAGCGAAAAGGGATCACAACACTCTCCCTGTTTTGGTATGCTCAAGTTTAAAAACAACAATTTGAAAATCTGAGAATGAAAAATGCAATGAACTATGCAAAATACAACACTATGCCTACCTCTTGAACCGAGAATAACACAAAGAAAGCGGATGTAGTAAACAAAACCTATTTTCATATATGATCATTCAAAAAAAAAATCCGAGTTCTATGGATTACATGATTTTAGTTTCTATCCACGATATTGTAATATATGGCTTTCCATAAAAACACATTTCTTCTAGGGAAATTGTCTAAAACTCACCATGATTTTTCAATATTTCTCTTAAACTCACCACAACTTTTCAAAATGTTTAAAATTCACCATGTCAGTAAGTTTTTATTTTCCAAAACTCACCTTCCATTAGTGCACAATTAATGCTTCTTAACAGAGGTGTCCATGTAAGCATAAATAACAATTTTCATGACCAAATTACCCTTGAATGGTGAGTTAGAGGAAAAATGGTATTTTTTTGCATTGTTAGTATTTTGTTATAATTTCCAATGTTTTTTATAATTACTTTTTCTTTTACATTTTTCTATTTTCTATAATCTATAAATTTTCTTGTATTTTTTGTTATTTATTTGCACTTTTTGTGTTTTTGTAATTTTTTTGTGTTTTTTTTACAATTGTTATTTTCTGATTTTATTTTTCAATTTCTATAGTTTCTATAATTTGAAAATAATTTTTTTATTTTATTTGAAATTTTTATATATTTTTTGTAATTTCTATGTTTTTATGTATTTTATATTTGAAAAATATTTTTTTGACCTTTTTTCTTTTTTCATGTCTAAATATAAAAATGGTAATATATATATATATATATTAAAAACAAATGGTAATATATTAACACCCGTTAATTTATTTTGTATGTATTTTATATTTTTCTGTGAATGTTAAAATGGTAATATATTAATAATTATTAGTCTATTTAACGTCAAGTTAGTGACATGGTGAGCTTTATACATATTGAAAATTTATGGTGAGTTTAAGAGAAATTTTGAAAACTCATGGTGAATTTTAGACAATTTCCCTTTCTTCTATATTTATGTGTGAAGTGAAATGGAAGGACATGGAGAGTGATGATTGGGCAGCTTAGGAGTGGTGGGAAGATGAGAGAATAGAGAGAGTCAAAAAGAGAGAATGCAGGTTGAGGTAATGGAGCAAGAGGCAAGGTGATGTAAACTTTTATATATATAGATAGATAGATAAAAATACCTACTAGAAAACAAAGGACTCGCTACACTCTAAACCATGAACTTTCATTAGCAAATAGCAAGCCTCTAAACAATGGCCTTCGTTAACAAATCAATCCGCAACAAAATTTACACTGACCAATTTTGGATACAAACTTTACTCTCATATTGGATACAAACATGTATTGTAATTTGTGATAACTGTTTTTTTACAATACAAAAATGTATTGTAATTTGTATACTATTGTCTTGGAGAATACCCATAAAATTTAAATAATAAAAATATTAAGTAAAAAGAAAACAAATGAATTAAATTAATTAATACTATCATATACATCGGATGGTCACGGATGAGTTTGATTTCCAATCAACAATTTTTTTTGACAAGTCCAATCWACTATTTATATTTTTCTTCCATTTGTCCATCTCTCTCTCTCTGCTTCTCTCCCCTTTTTCTTCCTTGTTTTGCTGCACTTATGTGAGATGTGTATTCATCGGTCCCACACGTTATTCCAATCCTACTGCTGTTGGGTCAGTGATTTAGTGAGTTGGCAGTATGGATCGTATACACCAAAATATTACTTGTATCAAATACATGTATATGTGTATATAAACGCGTATAAGATTAAAAAATGTGATTTACAAAAAAAAAGAAAATATTAAATAAATATTTGTAAACTCAGAAACTCTATTCCATTTCTCCTCATAAGAAAAAGTATATTCAATTTCTATTTCCATTTTCTCTTTACTTTTTGATCTTTCTTCTGCTTCTTTCTTCTCTCTCCTCCTCTTCTTTCTCTACTTTTACAAATCAATTCAAACCCTTCCACCCCCACAAAAAGCTTCCATTTCTGTCTCTCATTTTATTTTATTTTATTTTATTTTATTTTTCACACACCCATCTCATTCTCCCCTTTTGTTTCCTCTTGTTGCCTTCTCCCCATCTCTCCCGTACCTTCTCCGCCTCTGCATCTCTGTCCCTCTGTGTAAACATGAGCAGCGGCGGTTCTAGGGTTTCAATCCCCAACAGTGTGCGCAAGACAATCCAGAACATCAAAGAGATCGCCGGGAACCACAGCGACGAGGAGATATATGCAATGCTCAAGGAGTGCTCCATGGATCCTAATGAAACCGCACAGAAGCTCTTGCTTCAAGGTAACCAATTCCTATACTCTGTTCCTAGCAGCGGGCTCGTCTGGTTCTCTGCTGGGTTCTTTGTGCTTTGTCTTGATTTCACATGTCCGAGCTGCGATCCGTGTTTTCTCCTCTTGGGGGGCGGGCGGGGTGGGGGATTGATTTGGTGTTGGTGTTTGTCGCTCTTCCGGAGATGCACGACCTTTGGGCCATGAAATTGAGTTCGGTTCTTAATGGGCTTCGATTTGTTGTCGTCAATATTGATGTGGTTTTACGAGGGTGAGTTAGTAGTTCATGTCGGTTCTTTTGGTTACGTCTAAGGAGAAGCTGGTGTTTTGGCCACTTGAGCYTTGTCCGGTTCCGGGACTTACAGCTTTTAATGTAAATCTCTTTCCTAGTCCGTGTCTTCAAGGGGTAGGGGGGAGGTGGCGCTAGGTCTGAAAAGGAAGTTGGTATGTCAATATTCCTCAGCCATCATTGATATCCAGATTGATAGTCACTCTGTTTTTGGATTTTTAGGTTTTCTTTGTAATTTGTCCTTTTCTTTTAATTGTTCTTTCTGGTTGAACCAACTAAGTTGTACGGGGCATCGCAATTTTGCTCCTTTCCTATCATTTACCTTTGTCAATGCTAAAACCACACAACAGAACATTAACTACAGATGCCAAGTGATCGATAGATAAGACTCGTAGTGGATCCGATTAAATGCAGTTCTTAGTGTGGTTTTAGTTGATACAGTGATTGTGGCATCAATTAGCTATTTTTTTAGTGATTCTGGGTTGTTATTGTCTTTCAATATTTGTGGAGTTGACTTCCAAAAGTTGATGGACTGGTTGAACCACTTGATGCAATGGTTGCTCAAACTTGCAAATTAGTCATGATTGTCTCTTCTGTCTTTCAAGATTGTGGTTTTCTGCAATAGCATTATAGTTGAGCTTGGTTCCTTCCACTTTATGGAGCATCTGAAGAAAGATTAAGCAACAGTTGTTAAAATATCTTAAGAGTTATCATCAGTTATTAGATGAATCAACCTACTTATATCAATCACTTCTTTGTCACTTATGATGGTTTGTAGAAGAAATCATTTAGGACGTCTCAGACTGTTAGGTGGTAGTAACGAATGATCTTCTATATGTTGCTGGTTTTGAAAACAGGTTTTCTTTGTACATAATAGGTAACTGTAACGGTTATTAATTAGTTAAGCAGCTGATACTAAGTTATTTTTACTTATATAAGTAATGCTCGGAGCATAGCTACAGCTACTATCAAGGATCTGTCTATGCTAAACGCATTAGTTATATAACTTGCTTCAATATTGCTCTTTTTTGATAAGAGATTTATTGTTAAATAATCAACTAGAGTACAAGGCTTACCTATCCCAAATAATAAGGAAAAAACTGGAAGAAAGACCTATCCCCTTTGCTTCTCACCCAGAGTAATAATTGGATCAAACCCATACAAAATTTGATTACCCTGGGGAATATGATTCCCAATTACTTCTATTACATTTTTTGTATGAGTCAGTAGTTATATTTTAAATGCAATATCTTTTTTCTTTTCTAGGTATGGTGTTTGCTTACATTTTATCTCTTGGTGTTCCTCATCTTATCATGAATCAGAAACTCAATAGTTTCAGGAGAATTGCTTGTTATTTCTATCATGGTAACTGACTTTTTTTGTTCCACGAGGTGATCATTAGCATTTGTTTTCTATGGCAGATACATTTCATGAAGTCAGAAGGAAACGTGACAAGAGAAAAGAGGTAAGGCTTTTCATTTGGTTGTTATTAGACCCATATAATGCTTAGCCTTGTTGCAGTTTCAAGCGTAAATTATCACAGRRAGATTGTTATCAGCTTCAAAATGTTGCCATACAAAATACCTTTCTTCTGATGCTGTCTTGGTTGGTCTTCATGATGCATACTTTGCTTGTCATGTATGGTGTGAAAATTCTTTCTTTCTTTCTTTTTTTTTTTTTTTTTTTTTTTTTTTTTTTCGTGACATATGATTGTTTTAAAACTTTAAATATTGTCTTGGTTAAGAAAACAGAAAAATGGAAATCTGATTAGTTTTGAGAGTTCCATTTGGTGAATGGCAGTTCCAATTTACTGCTTGATCAGGGATATTGAGTCTTAATGGTGTTTATACTTCTATCCAGTCCTAGCTATTGATGATAAAGAAGATATTTGCAGTTTTTCTTGTTTTTTCCCAGGCTTAAATGTCATGTTGTACTTGCAGCAGACTGTAGTATGATTCAATGTTATCAGTGCGGTGAAGTGACGGTTAGTTGTTTGGCTCCTCTAGTTGATGCAATGACTAGTTTGTGCCTATGTGCTGACTTGCCAATAAAAAAAATATGCTCTAAATTTAAGATATTAATGCTATCTCATAAATAAATCAACACAAATGACAAATATTCTATAAAAGAATGATATTGAACATTTAATTTACAGTCTTTGTTTTGCAATCATTAAGCATTTAAGCTGGATAGGCTAGAATGGCTAGTTTGTTTGTGTTTTGCAAAGAAAGATTGAAACCTTTGACCATCCAATGTAGCCCTTGTTGTGTCTATTCCATACCAGCACATCACTGATTGTAAGAAAACTTAGAATAACCTCTTATCCACTTTCATCTTTTATTTAATGACTTTTTTTTCTATTTTATATACCATGATACCATTGGCCAACTTTTATCAGCCACCTCTTACAAGTTGAGAGCTAGGGGCAGACCAAAAAGGACATCAGTTGAAGTAGTGAGAAATTATTAAAGGGCTCATAATTTAACAATTGATATGAAAATGAATAGAACTGAATGGTGGAACAGGATCCATGTACTTGGCATGATGATGATGGTGATACTGATGAAGATGATCAGCAACCATTTTTCATCACAAACATTTAAAGTAGCTGCACATGTATAAAAATAAAAGCATTACTATATTATTTTAATTAATTAGAAATGACAAATAAAGCTTTAAACAACTTTGTTGTGTATTAGTTGACCTAGCTGATGCCTAATTATCCCATGTGACTGTCATGAGGATCAACTGACTAGTTAGTGATACAGTTGGTTTGGCCCTCTACTGACGAGTCAGTTGATTGGTTGATGCTTTATTTATTTATAAGTGAAAGCCATTTTATTACTGAAAATAGAAGGAGAGGTTCCATCAAAAGTAGTACAGGAGTACAACTTGTCAGAACATATATACCAGGAACCACTTCTCAGACCCCCTCCCAATACATCAAAAAGAAGGATAAAAATAAGACTGCTCCATTGATTTCTGAAGTGATCCTGGGTGATACCATTACCATCAATCTGTTTCAGAGCTCCATCCCATTGAGCTAGAGCCATGTCAGTTTTCCTAATTACTTCACCCACTGTTGATTCATTAGACTTGAATATCATCTATCAAAAAATAAAAAATTCATTAGACTTCGATATCCTGCTATTTATTTCTTTTCAAAGCTTCATCATAAAACAAAAGAGATCAAGCTCCATAATATCTTCTCTCTTATACTAAAACTTATTACTTTCCACGAGGTCACCAAGCTTGGAAGGTTTTCTGTGGGTATCCATTGTTGACTGAAAAGTTTGAGGAAATATGGTCGTAATTACATTGGATCAATTAACATTTGACTGGTTCCTCCTTAACACCAAACAAATTACACCTGTTATCAATTGCCATCCCTTTGCTGATGATGATCAATGGTCAGAATCTTATACTGGGTTGTTATCCACATGAAGAAGGAAAAGTTTAAATTGGGACCAAGCATTGTATCTCTTCAAAGCCTTGGGGTGTGTCTAGAAGCAAGGTGTAGTTGAAACATCTCAGATGCAAGAATGAAGCTTGATTCTCATTAGGCATGGTTAGGCGTAAGAGATACAGATGCCTTTTTCATGTCTCAGGTCACAGTTATGAACATTTTGAACACGTTGCATAGCAATAAGAAAATATGGAAATTCAAATGGAAAATTGGAAGGAATTTTTGATTAGCATTGGTGAACCCCATTTTGCAAACAAAGACTATCAACACCAAAGAGATTATTATATTCTATGGTTGGGATTGTAGAGAACACTGCTGTGGGCCCCACAGCTGTGGTCCCCACTGTGTTCGTAGGACAGTATGTGTAATTATTTGTTTCAGTCATGGTAGTGTCAGTTGGTGGTCAGTTTGTTATTTCAGTTTTTATTTGCTTTATTTGTCATGTAAGTACTAAGGGCAGATCTGTCCTTTTCTCTATGTACTGAAGATAACCTATAAATACTAAGAGAGTGGCGGCGGCAGATCAGCTAGAATTTGTCCCTCCTTTCAAACCCTTGTGTTCTCTAGTTCTTCTCCTCTCCTTTCTTCCTTCCTCTTACTTTTCTTCTACTTTTCTTAATCTGAAATCTATTAGGGTTCAAGGCTGATCGCAGTCTTGATTGTCTACTTGGTATCAGAGCCTATCTAGGGTTTCTCATGTGTGTCTAGTCCAGCCGACCACATGAGAACCATCTAGGGCTGGAAGCTTATGAAGAAGTACTCGACTGATTCTTGGAGATTACCAGAAGAGTTTAGTAGCTGTTGAAGATTTGCCATGGCTTGCAGAGTGTTGGTAATCAGGAAGAATCAGAGAAGGCTAGGGTTCAGGCAACCCTGGAAGGTAGCGAACAACATTCTTTGGGTAAGTTTTATTTATTTTCAGAGACTGCTATCAGTCGAGATAGGTTGGACCTATCTAGAAGGAGCGGCCGAACTGCTTTAGGGTTTTCTCTCTATTCTAGGGTTTGACATTAACCTTGCGGCAAACCAGACTGTTGGGCTGAACCCTCTTTATCTTCTTGGAAAGTGCTTGTTTTAGGGTTTTCTCTTAGAGGTGATCAGTTTTAGGGTTTCACATTGACCCTACGACAAGTCCTAATTGTACGGATTGCTTGGAAAGTGCGGCTGAGCACTTATTTCAGACCTACGATTAAAACCCTAATTCTGCTCCAGCATCTCAGATTGCTCTCTAAGCTGGTTTCAGACCTATTTTTTGGCCTCGAGCTCTTTTAGGGGGTAAAAAACTTGTACGGACTACTTGGTACTGTGATTGCCGATTGGTTTCAGATCAGATTTATACTGGTTTCATGCATATACTRTGATTGCCGCTTGGTTTCAGATCAGACCTGCACTAGTTCATGCATATACYGTGATTACAGATTGGTTTCAGACCAGACCTGCATTGATTCCATACTGATTTCTGATTGTGATCGATTGTCCAAGTGTTGTTTTCTGGTGTAGTGACTCTAACAGTTCATAATTGCTGATTCTTGACCAAAGATGGAGTTTAAAAATCAGGGAGAAGGTAGTTTTGGGAACAACAGTTATTGGTAGTATATCTGAAATTGGGTTTCGGATTACAACCATGAGATTTGACAGGTCAAACTACTTGGAATGGGCCCAATCAGCCATGATGGCTATTGGGGGAAGGGGAAAACTGGGTTACCTCTTGGGAGATGTGAAAGAACCTTCCAAGGAGGACCCAATGTACACCAAGTGGGTTCAAGAGAATTACATGGTTATGGCATGGCTGTGTAATACTATGCAACCACATATCAGTAGAAATTACTTGGGCAAAGACAGCTAAGGAGATATGGGATGTTGTGAAAGAAACCTATTCCCAACCCCTTAATGTTGCCAGAGCCTATGAACTGAAGGTGAAGTGAATAGTCTTAAACAAGGAGAGAAACCAGTTTTTGTCTACTTCTCTACCTTGAAATCCCTGTGGCATGAAATTGATCATCTAGAGACCCTTGAGTGGGAGAGTCCCAAAGATGCACAGACTCACAGAAAGCAAGTCGAGACAAATAGGGGGTTTGAATTTCTGGCCAGCTTGAATTCAAAATATGACATTGTGAGGCAACGGATACTGACTAGAGATAGGGTGACCCTCTCTCAAGCATACTCCCTGGTGCATAGTGAAGAGACTAGGAGGAAAGTCATGATGCAACCTCAACCCCTTTCCCCAGCCCTGGTAGCTGTTAAACCTAAGTCAGGGGGTGATCCAGAAAGGGACAGGAAGAAGGAAGATAAACGAGACCTGGTATGTAAACATTGCAAGAAACCCAAGCACACAAAAGATACTTGTTGGAAGCTACATCCTCATATGATCCCAACAAAACTAAGAAATAAGAAGGGTAATGCTCATGTGGTGGTGAACACTGATTCAACATCCTCATCAGGCACAAAAGGCACACCCCTAGAGACCTTAGCCGTGGTTCGGGCTGCCCTAATACAGTTAGAAAAGGAAATTGGGAGTTTAGCTCAGCCATCTCAGTCACCATCAGTCCCTGCCACATCTGCATTTGCACATTCAGGTACTCGAGCCTCAGCTTACCATGCTTTAGTTCCAGGTAATATTGAACACTGTTGGGTAATAGATTTAGGTGCATCCGACATATGATTAGCTTGCCATCATTGTTCACTACTTATTACTTGTCCTCCAGCAGAGATAGAGTATCCATTGTTGATGGCTCTCTTGTTCCCATTTCGGGCAAGGGGGACATCAAGCTATCGGATACTATCTCTTTATCTTCTGTTTTGCATGTTCCTAAGCTTGATACTAACCTGCTTTCAGTCAGTAGTATTACCAAACATATGAACTGTTCAATAACCTTTTTCCCTGACCGATGTGTTTTTCAGGACTTGGAGATGAGGAAGGTGATTGGGACTGGCCGTGAGATGAATGGGATCTATCTGCTCGGAGAGAGTCCTTGTTGGGAAGAGCTAGTGGATAAGAA